CCTTACATATATGTGCTTGTGAAGGTAATATGCGACTATGTAAATGGCTTGTTGAGGATTGCAAAGTTAATGTAAATGTAGTCGATAGTTTTGGTGGTACGCCATTATTCGACGCCTTTTGGCATGGACACTTTGATTTACTTCAATTTCTCTATACGCATGGTGCTCGAATGCCAGCATGTAAAGAAAAAGAATTAGCATTTTATCTCAATGCATTTGTTTATGAAGGTAATTTGGAAGCAATACAATGTTTAATTACATGTGGATTCGATCCAAATATCGGCGATTATAATGGTCGAAATGCTCTACACTTAGCAGTAATCACTAATCAATTTAATATTGTTCGTTATCTAGTTGAAGAAACATGTGCTCGTTTAGATGTAGCCGATTGTTTTCAACAAACACCAATAGAATATGCATCACATTTACCGAATTTGCTTATTGCTGATTATTTGTCACACGAACGAGATAATTCTATTCCTGTGAAAATGCCGACGGAAAAATTAATGCATCTTGAAACAGTCGTGATAAGCGGTTCAGATAATAAGAAACAAAACAAAGAAGAAGAAGAAGAAGAAAAAACGTTTTCAATGAGCTTGCAAGAAAGTCTATTACCCGCTCTTTTCTCTATGAATACAGTTCACGATGATATTAAAACAATATCCAATTTTCTCGAACAATTTCCTCATCTCAACGTACTCGAATGCGTGGACTATGATTTTCGTTCTGTAGCACATGTTGCTGCTGTCAAAGGTCAACTTGAAAATATTCGATTTTTTTCTCAACATTGTGACAGTTCTCATTTCAAGTGGATTATGAATCGTGAAGATCGATGGGGCATATCACCCATAGATGAAGCTTGCCGTCGTGGACATTCTAGTATCTGTAGTTTCGTCAACGAACATTTAGTTTCTCAGAATGATACAACACATAGAGAAATGCCACAGCTACCAGAATCAAAGTTTGAGAACAATATTATCGTTCGTCTGTTACGAAAATGGAAAAAAGTATTTCGTTTTTCTATATTGGCCGCTTGGGGTGTAGCTGAACAGATCGATGGACTTTTTACACGTGGCTACTTTAATAGCACAGAAATCTATGCCGATTATGATGGTCGCACACCAATGCATTCGGCTGTGGCCAATGGACATATGAATGTGGTTAAAGTACTTCTTCGATATGGATATGATGGCACAACATACAAAGATCGTTGGGGTAATTATCCTATTGATGAAGCACGACGAAATCAATTCTATGAGATTGTTGATGAACTAGAGCAACCTAGGGTGTGATGCATTTATTGGTACACATTGCTTTTTTTTTTACTTATTATTAGTGCTAAAATTTTCAATAAAGTAGATAGTAATAAAAGTTGTGGACAATGGTTCTCAATTGTGAAAAGAAAGGTATCGACATAGCTTCGATATGATAAGTTGGCTTAAAACAATGCTCGGCAATTGTATGAGCAAATTTGTATCAAAAGTAGTGATTAAATTCAAGGACTAATGGAACTCGTGCTGAGATTTATATAAATAAATGTATATTGATACAATAAAATAACCTTGTTCATTCTCATTTGTGTTCGATTGTCATACGATGTCTTGGACATAGAAGCGTATTAGAATGTGGATGTTCAGAAGGCTCATATTCTACACCGGTATTATTCGAAGACAGTTCGCCACTCTCTCAGCGACAAATCAGTAGTTTTGAACAGATGAATCGATATTATAAGCTTCACGGTCGATACACTTAATATCATTGAATTTATTTTTAGAAGAATATATCAAAACAAATGTCTATAAGTAACGTTTTTCTACATATAGAAATTTTTGTATTTTAGTTAGAGATTATAGCGTTGAAGAGTGCTTTTGAAGTTTGCTCATAAAAGTAAAAAATTGGTACATCCATCTATCATTTAAAAGGGGTGTGGGTGTGAGTCTTGTTTTCATCCACACCCACACCCAATCAGGTGCGCATTCGAACCGCTACATGAAGATCTGCAAAACTGCGCAAGGTCCAGAGTTTTAGATTCACTTCTTCAGAAGTTATAGGCATGTTATTCAAAACTTGTAGCCGATTTTCCTATTAATTGCTGTGAAAAAAATTAGGTTTTTGTGTTTTTCTTATTTTAAGAGAAACCAATTTTCTAGCATTTTTGTAGCAAATTCATTAAGAAAACTTTAGAAAACATCGTAGACAAGCTTATACTGTACTATTCGATGCGTTTGCATCTTCTGTTTCCAATAGTGAAAACCGCAGATCTCTATCTTGCTTCTGTCAAAAGTTATAGAAAAAAAATACCCGTCCGCCTTTTTTTAAAATAGGCAATAGTCAAGTTTAGTATGGAAAATTTTTTTTTTCACAAAACTTATTGAGGATCCATTCAGTGTTTACTTTGTAGCTTTCCAGAGGCAAGCTAGAATGAACTTTAAATTTGGATTTAGAGGTTTTTGATGATGCTCTTTCGTTTTCAATCAAAACATATAGGGGTCAAAATTTTCGAGAGTGTGATCATGTTCGATGGAGTGGTGCACCGTCTCTTATATTGAATATTCCAATGTTATTCTTTTGCTTATTTTTTCATCCTATGATTCAAATATTATTCTATTGTTCATGTGATCAACCATTACATATTTGGAATATTGAACAACATATACAATCAATTGATCAACCAATACCAATTAATATAAATGACGATGAAGAAGAAACAAGTGGTAATAGTGGAAATAAAAAACGACATCATAAACCAAGACCAAATTGAGCTGAACGAGAAAAACGAAGAGCAGCAAAAGTAAAAAAATAAAGTTTTGATTTTTTTTTAAGATATTTTGATTTTATATTTAGTCAGCAACAAATGAAATAAATAATGAACAAGATGACCGACTGATTTCACCAACGAATTGTATTATCTTATAATAAATTATTCATATATGATTTTTTTTTGTCTCTGTATTGAATTCTTTAGCATACTGTTTATTATGGTCAGCAGAAAGGGATCGTCAGATTATTTCCGATATATTTATTTGAATTATTAAATTATTAAGAAATAATTGTGTATTTATAGATTTACCATTATTGCTGGATAGAGCAAGTTTAACCGAAAAAAAAAATAAAACAACAGAATATATTCCTTTTATTGCTGGTTTCTTTTTGTTTGATTGTTTTAGGTTTTTAGGCTTTGATTTCACGAATAATTTGATCTATCATATATTAAATTGATGCGGAGAATATTCAGCATTATTAAATGAATTATCTCAACGAAATAAAACATCATCTAATTATCTATTTTTTTGGATGACTAGTGAAATAATAATGAAGAATAAATATAAGAATATATAACAATAATGATTAAAGCCAAACAAAATCAAGAGTTATTAGAATATGTCATCAATCATGATCATGTTGAGTAAGGTTTCTTTTTTTTGTTCTTTATATTTCTCAATCTGATTTCATTTTCTTTTCGCAAGTCTTTTCTTCTTTTAACTATTTTATTTGATTCTATTCATCAGATCTGCAATTGTCTACCGAGATCAACACAAACAGAAGATAGTCCATTTTTTTTGGTGATCGTTTTTTTTTAATCAAGTTGAAATAAAATTTCGACATATGATTGATTATATAGTGAACTCATATTGATAAGGTTCAAATCCAATGGAGCTTCGAAATACGAAACAGAATTGTTTATTTTCTCGATCATTCGATTGTCAAGAAAACAAAATATGATTTCTCGAATAATAATAACGAGGGCGTTGAGTAAAATATTGATCGTAAAAACAATCAAAAGCCATGCAATGGCTTTTATTTATTACATTTCAATTTTTTGATTATGTTATATAAAAGATACTTCTGATTCAAATATGCAAGAAACTTAATAAAAAGTAAAGTAATTCAGGACATTTGTAACAAAACAACTGTATTATACCAATTATGCAACGATCTCCATCTGTTAAAGTAATCATTGTTAAAAGATGTGGGTCAAGCAGTCAACAAAGTGTAATTATTGATTAACATTCTTTTTGATTGATACATTGTGTCTTTTGATAGATCAAAAGTACAAGCAGTAGTGTAAAAGTAACTCGGGTCAATTTGGTAAAGACAATGAAGAATAACTCGGCAGCATCGAATCATACTACATCACGATTGTCAAGCAAAAGCCTAGAACGATCAGTATTCGCGACGCCTAGTTCACGTTCTCAACCATTAAAATCGAATGTTAATAAATCAATTGAAGATTTATCACATCTGCAACATCCTGGTAGATCTGATCAACATATTGTAGGTTCTTCAAAATCATACACTATTCTTCCAATCCACGTGAGATTCTCATCTTCATCACATATATATATATACACTTTTAGTTTCTTGATTCTTATTTGAAGAATCGCATCAATATTCATTCATCATCACATACACCTCAATCTCAGGTTAAAGTTCAATATTGTACTTACACAGCCAATGAATTATTATTATTGTTGTAGAAAACAGATGCATTCAATTCAACTACTACAATTAAACTTCATGATTCTAGTTTCATGCATTTTTCAAACGCAAATGATGCAAAGATTAATTCTAGTTCATGGAGGTTTAATACAGGTAACCGACGAGATATTAACACAATTGGAAGAGAAAATAGAAATAAAAATAAAAAATGTCATCACCTATGTGGAAAATATCCACTTTATTTTTATGTGGCTCTTGGTGTTGCATTATTTTTAATTCTTGGTATGATCATCGCATTACCTGTTATAGTGACTTCATCAATGATGACTACTTCCACTATTTCCACTACGACAGGTGAGTGTTTCGATAATTTCATTTCTCGCAATCTTTTCTTCTGCTCAAACATCTAAATAATAATAAAATTCTTCAACAAAGAAATCTTAACTGTGCTCCAAAGATTTTATAATCGATTGAAATAAGAGTCTTCAACGTTTCATTTTTAGATACGACTTCGACAACGGCAACAATGTCAAGCACTAGTAAGTGTTGACTACAGTTTCGATGAAATAGAATGATACTACAATTACGAGCATAGATAATTTTCCTGAAATTTGAATTCTTTTCTGATTTTCTTCTGACCTTCTGATTTTGATATGTTTTCCTAATCCGTCTGAATTCTCAATTTCTTTACATTATAGCTTCCTCAGTGAAATTAAATATCATTTGACTTTTATTGATTTTTATTAGATTAGTTGAACAATATTTCCGTTATCTTGTTCTCCTTAATTGTAAAATATCTTCGAAAATAAAGTATCAGTTAATGGATACAGCGCCAATGAAGCATTGAATGTTCTCTAGTCGAACTCATCCGATAAAATCCTATCAGAAATTGCTGGAATCATTGGTATAGGAGTTTGATAATCGATTTCGATCGAATTATCATGTCGTTCCGACTGTCGACAACCTCTACCAAGAAAATCATTGAACAGAATAAAATCGTACAGAATCTGACCAATTCCGCTGCTATTTCGATGAGGACCGATGATATCCAACACCCAGATCTTTTGTCTTGAATTAGCACATTAAAAACAAAACAGCGTAGTTTACAAAAATGGCTCTTTCTGATTTTCAAGTTTTTCATCTGACAACCCTGCAAAAAAAATTCAATAGTGTTGAGTGAGATCAATAATTTCAGATAGGAGAACAATTAAACTAAAAACTAATGATCATTTTATTTTGATTTTTGAAGCTAGTACAACCACAACTACTGTAGCTACCGTTAGTGAGTATTTATTTATCTTACTAATCTAATGCTGTTATTCGAACAACATTTCAGCAATTACATCGAATACATGTACATCAACTTGGAAAGGTATTAGAATGATATACCATTGTGATAGTTGTTCTCAAAAACTTGTTTATTCGCTATTATCATTTAATTATGTAGCAATTGCAAATGTAACCCGAATCACATTTGCTGTGCGTAGAGATTCTGGGTATTTTGGAATTGATGATGTTTCTATTCGTAATGCAGCAGCACCAGGTATTGAACTCTTGTCTAATGGTGGCTTCGAAACAGGTGATTTTTCATCGTGGATTCATTGTGTTCAAAGTGGCTCATTAGCTACTGGATCTGTTCAATCAACATCAAGTGGTATCACTTATGGCAGCTATAATTTTGTTGCTCGTTCAGGTTTCTACTACTATTTGGGTGGAGCAACAGTTAATGCTGAATATCTTAGCCAAACATTTCCTAGTATTATTGGAAATACATATATTTTCAGTTTTGCATATGTTTATGCTGGCAATGGATCGTTGAATAGTGGCGATTTTTTACTCAGCGTTTGATAAATAACATTGTATTATCTTTTATAGTTTGAAGTTTATTGAACATTCAATAAATACAGAGTGATTGAAAAGTAACTCCCTACTTTAAATTCTTTATTACTCTCAAACAACAAAAGATATCGTAACAATTTTTTCACTGTTTTGAAGCATATGTCATGGCATTTCATTGTAGATGAAACAAGCCGATTGGTCATTCGATTATCTAAGATCAAGTACGAATTTCATCTAGAAAATCTGTGGAAATAACTCATTATTTTGAGTAGTTTATTTTTCTTATACGAAAACACATACTATAACAACTGCAGAAGTGTATGTACAATGGAGGAACCTACGTTGAAATTTGAGACATTATTTACTATAGTATTATGTACACTTCAAAATAGTAAAAAAGTTGTTATAGTATCTG